GGAGATGAGCACCGCAACCCTAGAGTCGGATTCGACTGGCTTTCGAGCAAGGGAACCTTTACCTTTACCTGTTGGGTTTGGGCACCGAATGCCACAGTAGAACTGGTTCTGTTGCTGGCCTGGCAAACATGCCGCCTCAGTTTATAATGCAGAGATTCTATGATTTGACCTGAGTACTGTTGGGTTTGGGCACTGACTGCCACAGTGGCACTGGTTCTGCTGCTGGCCTTGCAAACGTGCCCCCTCACACCACCACACCTCACTTACTTTCTAGTGCAGAGAGATTCTCGGGGAGACACTGCTGCCTGCCTTTTCCCCCTCCCCATCCCCATCCATAGGAAACAACGGAGGACTGGGGGCACCTTCTTTGGATGTCCCTAGAATTGGACCCACTGGTCCAATCTTTTCCAAACTTGGGGGTTCTTTTGAGGAGAGGCTCCAGCAGCTACAGTATGAATTTGGTGTCTCTACCTCAAGCCCCCTCCCCCCTGACTACTTTTAGAAAATTGTTGCCATTGACTACAATGGCCCCATAGAATATAGTGGAGCCGAAAATTTTCGGGAATACCAAATATTTTCCAGTACCAATACAATACCAGTACTGGTATTCGGGTATATTCGGGCATACCAAAAATATTCCGCTTTATTATAACCGAATCTGAAAATACTTGACACCCCTAATCTTCATCCTCTTCCGCCACCCCGAGAGGCAGAGTCGGTCTTTGTACCTGGGCCTTATAATGCTCAGCAGCTTGTTCCTTTTGGGTTAGCTGTTCCTCGAGGTCAGCCATCTTCTCCTTCTGCTTGTCAAGTTCCTTCTGCAGCTCCTGTTCATGCACCTATCGAGTTTTGAGAGAGAAAGCTTCTGGAAGTTCTGGAGAGACGGAAGCAGAAGCGGAGTCCGCAAAAACTGAAACGCTACTCGGCACTTCCATTAGATTTCAAGCCACAGGACTGCCCAGACAACACCCCAAATAAAAAAGACGCACAACTCTATATGTAAACTGGGGATGTTGGGAAGTGCCAGAGCTAGTGACTGACCCAAGGTCACATCAGCAGGTGCAAGTGGAGGAGTGGGGAATCAAACCCGGTTCTCCCAGATTAGAGTCTGCACACTTAACCACTACACCAAACTGGCTCTCTTGACTACAGAAGTCATCCCCCCCACCTGCCGGCTTGTGATCAGAACTGTTGCACGGACTGGTAGAAGTGATTAACTTGCAGCAGCTGAGAACTGTCATCTAAAGTGGTTGACAGCTTGCAGTTCAGAGATCTATCCTGGTAACAGCTTTCTATTGGCTAAATGGTTAAGAACACCTATTTAGAACAGACAGCTTGAGAAGACTCAGGGAGGGAGAGAAGAGACTGCCTTGAAGCTCTCTTCAACTTCCACCCTGCTGCTCTGCAGTGAGTAGAATAGCCATCTAGGTTTTTTGGTTCTGGTGTGCAATCCTTGCTCAACTGTATATATTCTTTCCCTTATCTATGTGTTGTTTGTCCTTTGTTTTTATAAATAAAGTTTTATGTGTGTCTATACAAATTGGAGTGAATTTACTGGCCAAACCCACGTACGTATTTCCAGTGCCATTCCTACCATCTACTGGAAAATTTATTCTCTCTCTCCCCCCTCTCAGCCTGCTGTTGTCACACTCTGGGGCTAAGGTCTGCAGAAGCCTCTATGCTTTGGTTTTAAAAGGCTTGATTCCACAGTAAAGCTAAAGGTTCCCTTGCTCAAAAGCCAGTTGAATCCGACTCTAGGGTTGCGGTGCTCATCTCCGTTTCAAAGCCGAAGAGCCAGCGCTGTCCAAAGATGTTTCCGTGGTCATCTGGCTGACATGACTAAACACCAAGGCGCACGGAACGCTGTTCCCTTCCCACCGAAGTGGTACCTATTTATCTACTTGCAATTTCTTGCTTTCGAACTGCTAGGTTGGCAGGAACTGGAACTAGAGACGGGAGCTCACTCCATCATGCGGCACCTGGGTCTCGAACTGCTGAACTACCGACCCTCCACAGCCTGCAGTTCAGCATCTTAACCACTTGAGCCACCGCAGCTCCTTGATTCCACAGTAGCTGAGTCATAATCTTCAGAATTCTGGTTTTTCTTTCTGCTCTGCCCCACAAGCCACATAATCCTGGCTACAGGCCTGCTTCACCCGCTGGTGAAAGTCGCCAACAGAGGGAGACAGACGAAGCACCCTGAGGAGGGAGTTCCAAAGTGCTGGTGCCGTGACAGAGAAGGCCCTTCCTCAGGTTGCCGCTCATCTAGCTTCAGCGGGCAGGGGTAAGGAAAGCAGAGTCTCCAAAGATGACCGGAGTGTGCAGGTAGATTCAGAGAGGGAAGGCGCATAAGAGGGAAGGTACGGCATGAGTCAGAAGCTGAACCGGGAAAAACCCATGGAAAATGCCATTTTTGGGGTATTCAGCATACCGAATCAGATTCCCTGAGCTGATTCGGTTGCTGAATACCGAAACGCCCCCGAAAATATTCGGTTTTTTTTCCCGGCATTGCCGAATATGGGCTCAGGGAGGCTTTAAACTTTAAAGGCCTCCTCTAACCTCCCCCCCCCCCATTTTTGCCTCTTTCCCGCCCTTTGCTCTGCTTTCCAGGAGGGAAGGGGAAGAGGGGCCTTACAGACAGCCAATCACTGCAATGCATTAGCAAATGCCATTGCAGCTTCCAAGGCTGTTGTTGCTGCTGGCTTCATTTGTTGAGCTTGCTGCTTTCCCAGGGGAGGAGCACTGGCCAATAGGATTTGGCATACTGCTCTCTGGCCAATCACAGAAGTTTGTCCCTTTTTGAGATCCTTCTGTGTATGCCCAGAGAGCATAAAAGCAGGGATATCTGGCTGGCTGATTCTATTCCTGTTCCTGCTGCTGAGAGAGAGCCAGGGTTGGAGATTGTTTAGCTGGCTTCTGCTTCAGTCACTGCTCTGAGCCTGCTTTTCTGGCTGCTGACTTGGGACTACTTTGGATCAAGATCTATCCATCCTGCCTGCTGGACAACAGAAGACTGACATATTAGGGCCACTTTTAAAAAACTTTTTGTATTTTCTTGTGAGTTGGTGGGTTTAGGGTTGGTGTGGTGGTGGTGGGTAGGCCTCTGGGCCCTAGAGCCTCTCAGGCCTCTTCCTTCTTCCGTGATGTTTTTTGGGGTAGGGATCTTCTAGCTTGTGGTTTTGTTCCCAAGCCTGTTGTTTTTGCAGTTTAAATATATTTTTTACCGTGCTTGATATTTTATTTCTTGGCTTGTTGGGGCTTTTTTTTTGTGGGGGGGGGGGTTTACTGACTAGGCCTTCTGCCTAGGCTCTCTTGTTTTTGGTTCTTCTGTGTTGTGGTTCTACTGCCTTTTTGCAATTTAAAATTTTTAAGTTCTTGTATTGTGTTTTATACTTCTCTGGGCTTGTTGGTTTTTTTGGGGGAGCGGGGTAACTTCTCTCTGACTAGGCCTTCTGCCTGGGGCCTAGGCTCTCTTGTTTTTGGTTCTTGTGTTTTGTGGTTCTTGTGTTTTGTGGTTCTGTTGCCTTTTAGCAGTTTAAAGTTCTTGTATTGTGTTTTATATTTCTCTGGGCTTGTTGGGGCTTTCTTTTTTTGGGGGGGTGGGGTGACTTGACTCTCTGACCAAGCCTTCTGCCTGCTTGGTGTAGTGGTTAAGGGCGCAGATTCTAATCTGGGAGAACCGGGTTTGATTCCCCACTCCACCACTTGCATCTGCTGGATGACCTTGGGCAAGCCGTAGTTCTGATAAGAGCTATCCTTGAAAAAGCCGTAGTTCTGATAAGAGCTATCCTTGAAAAAGAGCAGTTTCTGTCAGAGCTCTCTCAGCCCCACCGACCTCACAGGGTGTCTGTTGTGGGGAGGGGGAGGGGGAGGGAAAGGAGCTTGTAAGCTGCTCTGAAACTCCCTTGGGTAGCTGTCCCTGAGTGTTCCGCGGTAGGGATGGGGCAGGAACGCCAAACATCTCTGACGGCGCGTTGAGCACAGGTGGGCCAAGAGGGTCACGTTGGCTCAAGCTGAGGGAGAGGGTGGTGCAAGCTGCTCCACTGCTGCTCATCTCCCCTGTCACGGAGCCCCCCCCCCCCCCCCCACGGCTCTTGCCATGACAACTGTTGAGACGACAGATATCGGGCGGATCCTTGGCCCCTCTTCTGGGAGAGGACACAGCGGCTGCAGTGGTGAGGGAATACCTTTCAGAGCCCCACGAGTCACAGGCAACCTGTCCACTGAGCTAATGGCCATGAAGGAGGCGGTCTGGCTGGAACTTTCTGCCGTGACCCAGAAGCTCCTCTCGTGCCCTCCAACGAGCGTGCAGAGTGAGTGTGTTTTCCCTCATGCGGGCGACACTGTCTGCTCGCATCGCTCACGCCTGCTCCCCGGGTCAGTGGAGCAGTTGGTCTTCCCGAAGGTTAACTTGCCACCGTTCAGTTTCCTGGCCCTGGACTCTGAGGGTGAGCACGCATACTTGTGCCTGCATCCCCCTCGGTCTGTGCTGGGAAGTTGGGTTACAAGGCTCTTCCCGTGATTACAGCTAGAGAGGCTATGGAGAAGTAGCAGCCAGGGCCACGGCCATTTTGATTGGCACAGAAATGTCCCACCAACCTCCCCACTTCCATCCATCCCACCTGCAGCAGAAATACCTCTACGGAACCCTGGTAGCCGTGCAGTGCAGGGTGATGTTGAGGGTGGTTCATGTATGCACCTGAGTTACAGCCACCGCAAACCAAAACTGCATATGCTGAAATTAAAACAGCACCACAAAAACTCAGGGCTATTTTTGGGCAGGAACGCAGTTCCGGCTGGCTCCTGAGTTGGCCACACCCAGCAGGAACTCATTAGCATAATATTTATTTATTTATTTATTTCCTTCGATTTATATACCACTCACCCCCTAAGGGCTCTGAGCGGTTTACATTATAATAGGCCACACCCAACAGCAGAAACTCATTAGGATTGGCTACACTAGGGGTGTGTGGCCTAACATGCAAAGGAGTTCCTGCTACAAAAAAAGCCCTGGGTTTTGACAACAGACAAGGTAAACAGAATAAGGAGCAAAAGGTGGGTGTGGCTGGATGACATCATTTCTGGTAACATGGGGGTGTGGCCTAATATGCTAATGAGCTATGCTGTCAGGGGTGTGGCCTAATATGCTAATGAGTTTCTGCTGTTGGGTGTGACTTATTATGCTAATGAGTTCCTTCTGGGCATTTTCTACAAAACCCCCCCTGCAAAAACGGTTCTCCATCTTGATAGAGATGTACAAAGCAGAGTAGGGTAGATGCCAAGCAGCCAGACAAAAAACAGCAGAACCCACAGGAGCACCATAGGTAATGAATGCAAGTTGAAAAATAATTTTCTTTTGCAGGGGTGAGATGGGAAAGGGAGAGCCTGTAATGAAGGGCAGCTGCTACATCTAGGCTAAGCCTCCTCCACTGAGGCAGTAATGGCTGGTGTACTGCTGCTGAGAGAGGAGGATCAGTGGACAGACACTACCCACTCCCTCTCACTTTCTGAGGCATTACTGGGCAGGGGCTTATTGTTGTGATGATTAGATTGCACTGGTTCTGCTGCTGGCCTGGCAAACATGCCCCCAGAGATCATCAGTTTTGACCTGTTGGGTTTAGGAGCTGCGGTGGCTCAAGTGGTTAAGACGCTGAACTGCAGGTTGTGGAAGGTCAGTAGTCCAGCAGTTCGAGACCCGGGTGCCGCATGACGGAGTGAGCTCCCGTCTCTAGTTCCAGCTCCTGCCAACCTAGCAGTTCGAAAGCAAGACACTGCAAGTAGAGAAATAGGTACCACTTTGGTGGGAAGGGAACAGCGTTCCGTGCGCCTTGGTGTTTAGTCATGCCGGCCACACGACCACGGAAATGTCTTCCGGACAGCGCTGGCTCTTCGGCTTTGAAACGGAGATGAGCACCGCAACCCTAGAGTTGGATTTGACTGGCTTTCGAGCAAGGGAACCTTTACCTTTACCTGTTGCGTTTGGGCACCGAATGCCACAGTAGCACTGGTTCTGTTGCTGGCCTGGCAAACATGCCCCCCTCAGTTTATACTGCAGAGATTCTATGATTTGACCTGAGTACTGTTGGGTTTGGGCACTGACTGCCACAGTGGCACTGGTTCTGCTGCTGGCCTTGCAAACGTGCCCCCTCACACCACCACACCTCACTTACTTTCTAGTGCAGAGAGATTCTCGGGGAGACACTGCTGCCTGCCTTTTCCCCATCCCCATCCACAGGAAACAACGGAGGACTGGGGGCACCTTCTTCTTTTCCAAACTTGGGGATTCTTTTGAGGAGAGGCTCCAGCAGCTACAGTATGAATTTAGTGTCTCTACCTCAAGCCCCCTCCCCCCTGACCCCTGAATACTTTTAGAAATTTTTTGCTATTGACTACAATGGCCCCATAGAATATAGTGGAGCCGAAAATTTTCGGGAATACCAAATATTTTCCAGTACCAATACAATACCAGTACTGGTATTCGGGTATATTCGGGCATACCAAAAATATTCAGCTTTATTATAACCGAATCTGAAAATACTTGATACCCCTAATCTTCATCCTCTTCCGCCTCCCCGAGAGGCAGAGTCAGTCTTTGTACCTGGGCCTTATAATGCTCAGCAGCTTGTTCCTTTTGGGTCAGCTGTTCCTCGAGGTCAGCCATCTTCTCCTTCTGCTTGTCAAGTTCCTTCTGCAGCTCCTGTTCATGCACCTATCGAGTTTTGAGAGAGAAAGCTTCTGGAAGTTCTGGAGAGACGGAAGCAGAAGCGGAGTCCGCAAAAACTGAAACGCTACTCGGCACTTCCATTAGATTTCAAGCCACAGGACTGCCCAGACAACACCCCAAATAAAAAAGACGCACAACTCTATATGTAAACTGGGGATGTTGGGAAGTTAACTCATTTCTGGTGCCTCCCTTGCAATGTCTTTTCCCAGGGAAAGGGGAGGAGCCATGCAATGCCACACCAAACTTCTTGGAGGGGGAAGAAATCAAATAACATTACAAATAGGGTGTGGCCATCTTACGATTAGACTGCCACAAATGCTGACAGTACAGAGGGGGCCTTGCAGTATTTCTATACTTCTGACTCTATCGGGGGCAACAGGACATATACACCCTACCTGCTGCTCTCAAGTAGTGCATCTGCTGGGGACATTCACCCAGGCATGTTGCTCCTCCTGGTTACAGCAGACCCACCACCAGCTGCGTCCTTTGATCAGAGCTTGGGGGGGTCTCAACTCTGAAACCCAAGATCCTCACGCGAAGGGTTCCCTGGCACCTTTTATTCTGTGCCCCGAACTCCCAAGCAGTGCATTTCCTGCCCCAGTGAACAGTGACCAGCTGTGGTACATCTGGGGTTTAGCAGGTGGGCTTCTGGGTTCGAGGCACGGGTTTGAAACTGAAGCCCCCTTTTCACAGCTGCCCATGCTGGAAGTTCTCCCCCCCCCCATCCCAGGAGCTCACCTTGGCCTTCTGCTGCTGGGCTTGGCCGGCTTTGTCTTGCTGAGTCAGCTTCTGTTTCAGCTCCTCTGCCTGGAAAGGAGGGGGAAAGGAGGAGCAGTTATCCCAGTCCCTCCCCTTCCCGCTGCTCGGCCACCTCCAATGGCTCCCCAGCCCACAAGTGCTGGCCAAACCACACGAGGGGGTGGGGGTGTTGAACATTCCAAGATCCCCGCTGCTGCGTATTCCTGTTGAACGGCTGGTAGCCATGTCTGGGGAAGGGGTTAACAGGAACCAAGGAAGTGGCCCTCCTTTGTCAAACTACAGGACGCAGAGTCAAGAGTATGGCTACCCCTGTATGGCCACGGACCCCCTCCCCCCAATCACTGAGACTTGAACACAAGGCTCCAGTCTCTTCCTTGCTGGGAGAAGGGGATAGGTGCTTGTCACGCAGCTCAGCCCTTGTTTCTGTACTGTCAAGACCCACATAAGCCTGGTGCAAAATAAATAAATAAAATCCAATTATTCTGCACTATGCCAAATTAAACGATTGCATAGATCTGCTTAATGCTGACAATGGGGGTAGTGTGGGGGTCAAGTCACTGCTGACTTTACGGCGACCCTGTAGGGTTTTCAGGACAAGTGGCTTGCCATGGCCTGCCTCTGTGTAGCGGACCCTGGACTCTCTTGGGGGTGTCCGATCCAAAATACTACCCGGGGCTGACCCTGCTTGGCTCCCAGGTTCTGACGAGGTTGGGCCAGCCTGGGCCATCCAGGCGAGGGCAATGCTGGCCACAGGGAGGCGGAAAGCTACGGACAGCACCAAAGCCCCACCTCGCTAAGAAGTCACGGTTAGTCCGCCTTCAGAGATTCCACCCGGCGTGGCGCGCCACCTTCAAGCGGGTCCGCAACTACAAGGACTAAGGATTCGAGATGCTGAATTTTGTACTTCCCAAGTGGCTAAAGGGACACAGAGCACACGGGGACTGCTTTCCGCAACACGGGGAGGCCACGACCACCCCCACTGTAACCTCATGCCTCCTCGTCTGCGAGGTAAGCCAGGCTAAGAAAGAGCGAACTGTCTCCATAGCACCGTCCCCACCACAGTGATGCCGCGGGCTCCCTCCGACCAGCAGAAGCCACCCTGTGCCGCCACCAGAGCCCGTCTCCCGCCCCCCTCAGCTGGCCAAAGGCCGGTTTAAAGAGGCAGCGTCTCCCCCACCCCGCCGGACGCAAGGCACATGCTGCGGGGTCAGCCACGAGGCGGGTTTAGTCGCTTTCGGAAGCAGAGCAGGGCAAGCCGGTTAGTGTCTTCTCGGCAGCTTCCTCCAGGCGAGGCGGTTGTGATGGGTGGCATGCAGAGGGCGGGCGTTCCTTCAGCCAGCTCCCCACTTTCTCCCTCAAAACCCCCAAAAGGGGGGGCAGGATTTGTCGGGATTGAAGCCAGGCTCGTAGCCGGGGGGGGGGGGGGTGTTTAGGGGAGAGAGGACCTTCCTTCAGCCAGCTCCCCACTTTCTCCCTCAAAACCCCCAAAAGGGGGGGCAGGATTTGTCGGGATTGAAGCCAGGCTCGTAGCCGGG